TCAAATTGAACTTTACCTTAAAGTTATTAAGCTATATTGGAGTGATTCACGAGTATTTCCCATCAACCTTTCCAAGTTTGAAGTGATATATATTTTATAGTCTCTACGTATAAACCAAACTACCGGTCGCCATCTTGAAAATTAACCATAGCATCTTAGATTCTCCGTTCCCGCGTTTAATTATAAACGCGTTTAATTATATCACGAATAGTGCTAACAGCTTTTTTTTAGAACGCCCAGCATCTGCTTTATAATAAAAAATATTCTTGGGAACAGCAAGCCTTAARTTTGCTAGTTTTCCTTTGCAATGTCTTATTTCAAGGTAGTGGTGGTTTCAAGTCCAGAAATCTGAAAACTGATTTTAAAGACTTGTTTAGGTTAAGGTTAATAGAACGTCAATTGGTGATCAGACTCTGATAAGCATCTTTGTTAGAATGCGATGTCTCATCTTGCGTCAAGAAAGTCAAGACCCTACAGGCGTAACACATGACACCGGTCTAACTCTCCTCAAAGAGATCGGCCGGTGTCTGCTTGCCGACTTTTMTTTTCCGACATTTGTCCGTGATTGACTCCTTTATTCGAGCCCAGCTTGTGGCTCTCTCCTCTGCATTCTGGGMAGGAAACTATAGTGGCTGAAATAAAAGGGAAAAAAAACTATAATTAAGCACAATGATAAAAGAACATTGATTACTSACATAAATACTGCTTGCTTATTTGCATAATGCATGCATAAAGTAAACCCATCGAAAGGCTTCAGCCATTCATTATATAATTGATTTATTAGGAATGTGAATATGCCAATTCTTTTTTAATTTAACAAAGAATTGTCGAGATGCTAGAGTGCTCTAAATAATTTCGGGCAGCGTCCCCGATGGTTCACTTTAAGGACCCATTCGAAAAATGGCTAAAAAATTTCGTTTCAATTGCCATCAGCTATCAGCTATCAATTGCAATCAGCTATATCTTAATAGATTAACCTACCTTTCAAGGCGCTTGTGCGCAACGGGCAGAGTCTTTTTTTCCTCTCCGATCCMATAAATGTCGAAGATCTTAGTACGTCTGCAGTAAATAGCAGCTATGGAAAACGTAACATCAAAACATCATGTTTTAGAAACGTGTAATCATATTTATGAAACAACTCACATCGACCACTTATCGACCATTCTGAAACGTCGAGATGTATAGTCAAACGACCTGAAGCGTGAACATTAATCCAATCATYAATCGAGATTTAAAACTATTTTTGTTTTGAATATTGAAAACTTCGTATCAAGAATGAATGGTTCGAATCGAATAATCACATCAATATTCGAAGAATGAATACATTAATTATGTCTATGTGTTCACGCTTCAGGTCGTTTGACTGTAAGTATGAACCGTTAAAAAACTTATACTCACTTCCAATAAGTTCAAGGCAAACTTCTTACGGTCTGTCGAGCCATCTCGTGCTTTAATGCAGAGGCTTTTTTTSACTTTGACTTTCATGTCTGGATCACCAAGAATGATCCAGGTGTCCGCTGCTGGACTTGGTGTATCTAAATAGGCACAAATGAAATCAGTTCTCTGGTAAATAGCATGGATAAGAAGCGTCCAGTACGAGAGTTTATATTTCTTTTCTTTGCCCCTTTACTGAGACTACTCTATTTTTAAGGATATAGATGTTGAAATTAGCAAWAATTGGCAATTATTCAGAAAATAACGTTACATTTTATTTGTACTATATAGCTCATAACGGAAAGTGATTYTTGAACTGAGGCTGATGAGCTACAATTTGTAGCTTCCTGAGATAACGGTGCAGGTGGTGTTGCTGGTGGAGCTAGGATGTGGAAATTCTGATGGTTSTAAAGAGAACAAAATTAGCATTTATCTTTGCAGTTCTTGATCCATGAAAAAAATTGGATAACAAATGCTATTTTTTATTTGCCTACAGGTGGATAAAGCAAGTTGGCCAACATTGAATATGCTAGTCGTAAAAAMTATATTTTTTTCTAAATGTTTTAGTATCTGTGAAGGCGTATTACTGAAGTATACRTTACCTGATTCTCCAGCAAAGTCCTTATGTCTGTGATGGCAGTGTTTGTTGGGGATGGAAATTTGATTATTTGAGCGATAACGCGTAGTGTTTTAAGGAGGAAAGATTCTTTTACGTTCCGAAATGAAGTTCTTTAAATTTCTAAAATATACTAGTTGCGTAAATGGCAATAACTTTTTTCGTAGTACACTAATGGGCATGTGCCTTGGACAACAGTTGTWCAAAAGATTAAGCTTTCAAGCTATTGTAGTTTTGTCATTTATCATTCGAATATTGTCACAAACGAGGACCTTAAAACATGGCCTCATCGTTTCGAGAAACATTTTGAAATGCTYAAATATCTCGAAAYTTTARGTTAAGATTTCATTCAAACTTTGTCAGTATGTCAATTATAGGAAGGAAATGTTTCAGTTTCAATAGATAAGTCCTGGTAGTGGGAATGCTTTAAGTGTTCGATCAAGTTGACAGTAGTCTTAAATGGCTCCCTGTGTAAAGAAAATAATATTTTCTAAGTGTTAATGGAAACCATATAAATCGTCATGCGGTTTGCATCTCCAACCGTTATTACTTACTTGCATTCGACGCATTTTAATTCGTTTTTTGGCGATGGTTTTTTCTCGGGGGATTTTTGTTTACGTTTTCGTTTTTTGTGTTTATACAAACAGTTCCTGCTGCTCAATTGCAGACCACAGTAAGGACAGACATATTTTTTTTCCCGTTGATCAGAGGAAAGCTTTTCGTTGGGTGGCGATGCTGAGTTCTCAGGGGGAAGCTTTGTGTTGGTTGCCGATTCTGAGTTTCCAGGGGAGACCGTTACGTTGGTTGGCGATGATGATTTTCTATTGAAGGCCTTTAAATTAGGTGGCGATGTTGTTTTCCAGGGGGGGGCCTTTACATTAGGTGGTGATGTTGATTTTCCAGGGTGGACTTTAACATTGGGTGGCGATGCTGAGTTTCCAGGGGGAACCGTTACTTTGGGTGGCGATGGTGGTTTTCCAGAGGGGACCTTAACATTGGGTGGCGATGCCGAGTTTCCAGGGGGAACCGTTACTTTGGGTGGCGAT